CATTGAGGTTGATATGCTGTAAAACACAACAAAACAAACATTCACTCCGTTTTAATTCATTTCGTTTTCGTATAAAAAGTAAAAGGATTCCTCTGTCAATTACTACTACAAACATCAACATCAACTAATCAGTACCGTTACAGTTTAGTTAGACTATTTCGTTAATTACAGATTCAATCAACAATGTATTTTCCCTGATTATCGTTATTGGATATTATTATATCGTTTATTGGAATAATGGTTGGCAAATCATCGGTTAATTGTCAATTGATTTGAACTTTATAAAATAGTAACTAATAAAGATTTCCTTACAGTTGTTTCACACATTTTAAAATAATTTAGTAAATGTTTATAAATTTATTAATAAAAATTGTTTTCATATTTATTTCTTTATAAATTGATACATGATAAATATTGCATTGCATTAGTTTTAATTGTATTACTATTAATTTTAAAATGTAAATATAAAATTATTTTTGTAAATAAACAATCTATTAAATAAATAGTGTTTAATATCTTTTTAACTTCACGAAGATCTAAGTTTGCTATATGATGTTTGACTATAATGTATTTTAGTTAACTAGAATGGTATTCTTTTTGTGACGCGTAGGTTTGTGTATAAATATTGGATGAAGTTTGTGGAAACGAGGAACAATGACTTCGATAACGTGTAACAGAAGATTCCATTACGTCAAAGATCTAAAATCATATGCAGAATGAAATTTTATAGACCCGAAAGAAGACTTTGTTTTGCAATTCATCAGTAGATCCATAGGTAGTCCATAAACCATGTCTGACCGCGCCGAATGAATTAATCAGTCTATAAATAATTATCTTAACGTTGATATTTTTGATTTTTACAAAGTATGATCAGTTAGGAATTGGTGATATGTATATATCGACTGAATCAATATGAGATTGGATTACAAGTAACTTCGGTTATTGAGAGCCAGTTGCAATGACAAATGAATCATTCTAGCTACTAATCCAATGTAGCAGCTAAGAATAGATTTGGACGAGGGTTTTAGTCAATTAGAGTTCTTAAAACGCAATGAAGTATTAAATGCAAATTTATACATACAGCAGCTGCAACGTGTCCAAAAAAGGTTGATCGAAAAGCGCCATACATTCGTCAATAGAAACATGTTGTTCTTCGCCCTGACAACGTAAGGTCATGTACAGTAAGAATAACACAATATAAATTTGAAACTCGGTTGGTCTGTTCTATCCATCCCACTATATTCACCTGACCTTAAGCCAACTGATTATTACCTTAATCGATCGTTACAAAATGCTTTGATGAGGAAAACTTCTTTAATGAAAACAAGACTCAAGGGTACGCTAAAAACGTTTTCACATAAAAACCTGCGGAATTTTACTTTTCAGAATCGAAGAACTTGTCGGGTTACCTCATCCTTAATTCCCAAATTTCACTAGGGGTCATTCTCCCTAAATTATAAATACTGGGTGACTTCTTGTCTCGTTCTCTTTCCTTCAGGCCTCGTGCCGCGTCCCACCTCGTGTGGAGGTGAGATAAATCTTCTTTTTCATTTCTTCATTGCAGCGACTACAATTTAAGCTCTCTTAGAAGATCCGCGTCTTCCCATTTGTGTGAGACGCCATGAACATTATACCCACATACACGTACGTACGAACATTACCCAAAATACGAACATTCACTAAAGAACAGACACCAATGTTTACACACACGCAAATGTTATTGTCCATAGTAAAATTGTTTTGTTTAATACATATATTTGTTTATATATATATATATATATATATATATATATATATATATATATATATATATATATATATCGGTCTTGTTTTGTCATCTTTATCTTCAGTTGGAGTTAATTCAAGTCCGGCAATTTTCTTGTAGTTGTACCTTTTAATATTCTACCAGGCGTTACATACGTGTTTCTAATACAACAACACGCAAACATACACGGTCCTCTACAAACTGCCTGATTAAGTGAATAAAGTGGAATCGTACTTCATTTTTTGAAGAATAAATTTTATAAACAAAACGAAAATTATTTATGACTCTACCTAATATATTGACGTATATTTTAAAATAAATTTTACCCGGTAGAAGAAAAGTAGTCATGGAAAAACAGTTTCAGCACCTCGATCGAGGGAATCTAAGTGTACTAGATTGGCGCTTAGGTCTCATTGCTTTATTGTTGAAATAGCTGGATTGTAATAGTTTCTTTTTTTCATACTTCTCACGTTTGGAACTTTCTTCTGGTTTCTAGCTTCCCTGTCACCTTCAATCTTCAAAAATGTAAATGCAACGTCTATCGCTATCTTCTTTAATCCCGTCCTTTTATTGTCTTTTCTCCTCGTTAATGTCTCCTCATTCTCTTCCACTCATAGTAATCCATTAGGGGTATTAAGATATGTCAGAGGACAAAAAAAAAAAAAAAAACGGTGGGGGCGGATTCATGACTTTCCTAAAAGCATTAGAAAAATCTACGCTAGGCATTCTTGTTCCAACTACTCCTTTTATTAAGTATTCAGAAAAAAAATTTTCACCCACCTTTTATCACTTTCTCTGCTTTGAACATACATTTACGTCTTTGGGAATCATGCATTATCTGCTGTCGACGTATATATTTTTTTCAAGACACCGTGAAATATATTCCGCTAGCTTTTGCGTTGTAGATTAACTAGCACATAGTTTTATGTCCAAGCTAGCGTTGACATATATTAGTGTACAATACGACCTGTTTTGTTATGTATTTTTATTATATTGTGTGTTGACATTGTACTGCAAATTAACCTATCGAAACCAAAATGGTCTTTAATGACCTCTTTTATAGACATTTATATCAAGTAAATGCCAATTTCCTATTTTCCCAAAGTGGTCAGCACAGTCAATGCTATAACAATGCAGCAGTGAAAGTGCTAATTTAGCCTACGAGAATTCTACGACAACGCGTTTCATTACTGAAAACTTTTTTAAAAAATTGAAATTTCTGGTCACCATTTTTATTTCAACCACTTTGTCTTTTTGAAACACAAGTGTAACATCATTCGAAATTTGGACTTTTTTTTCTACTTCCATTTTCTTACGAATAAGAGTTATACTACCTAGCACCATTAAAATCTCGCAGTACCGTGAATTTAACTACACGCCACGAGGATTTCAGTGTAAGGTAAAAATAATTGTCTTTTCTTTCAAATCATCTACTGAATCAATACGAGACAAAAGAAAAAGATACAAAAGAAAAAGAAACAAAATCAAATCAGACAACATTTTTTTCGGAGACTATCAACTAATCAGAGATTTATTTCCAACAGAACATCATTATAGCTTTATAGTGAAATAATAATAGAAATATATTTGATGACGTCATGATGCACCATCACGTAACTCCTGTTGGAAAAATCGAAATATGTTTGACTTTACTTTGGGGTGGTGGGTTTGGGTTTGGGTTTGGGTTTGGGTTTGGGTTGTTCTTTAGATTGGGCTTTTTTTTTAGCTATCCTTTCCTTAATTTCCTCAAATATTTTTCCAAGTCTGCCTTTTCCATAAATCCCTTTTAATGTTTCCGCAGTTTGGTCTCCACCTGACAAAAAGAAGAAAAAAATCATTCACTATTAAAAAAGTAATGATAGACATTAAAAAAAAGTTTGTTTCATTCGGTGATTATCATGTTTTTAACCAATCCTATAACCTTTCCTTAGATTTTTGTTTATAAGAAAGGATGGGAAATTGTGGAGGGTCTGAATCGCCTACGTCCTGAAAGGAAATGTCAGGTAGAAGAAGGTTAGCATCTTATAAATAATCGATATAATAAATATTAAAATTAAAAGCAGTCACTTATAGCAGTGACGGTTCGGCGTGTCTCATAGGTAAGGCGGAAGAGGATAGCAGGTGAGGCGGAAGAGGATAGCAGGTGAGGCGGAAGAGGGATAAGGCGGAAGAGGATAAAGTGAAGCGGAAGAGGGCAGGTGAAGCGGAAGAGGATAGCAGGTGAGGGGAAGAGGGATGAGGCGGAAGAGGATAACAGGTAAAGGCGGAAGAGGATAGCAAGTGAAGCGGAAGGTGCAGGTGAAGCGGAAGAGGATAGCAGGTGAAGCGGAAAAGGATACCAGGTGAGGGGGAAGAGGATAGCAGGTGAGGCGGAAGAGGATACCAGGCAGGTGAAAGGATACCGGAAGAGGATAACAGGTAAGGCGGAAGGGGCAGGTGAAGCGGAAGAGGATAGCAGGTGAGGGAAGAGGGAAGTGAGGCGGAAGAGGATAACAGGTAAGGCGGAAGAGGAGCAGGTGAAGCGGAAGAGGAAGAGGAGGATACCAGGTGAGGGAAGAGGATAACAGGTAAGGCGGAAAGGATAGCGGAAGAGGATGAAGCGGAAGAGGATAGCAGGTGAAGCGGAAAGGATACCAGGAAAGGCGGAAGAGGATAACCAGGTCAGGCGGAAGAGTGTAAAGGCGGAAGAGGATACCCAGGTGAGGTGGAAGAGGGATAAGGCGGAAGGGATAACAGGTAAGGCGGAAGAGGATAGCAAGTGAGGCGGAAAGAAGGGAGGATAGCAGGTGAGGCGGAAGGGATAGGAGCGGAAGAGGATAACAGGATAGTGAGGCGGAAGAGGACCAGGTGAAGCGGAAGGATAGCAGGTGAGGCGGAAGAGGCAGGTAAGGCGGAAGGGATAGCAGGTGAAGAGGATAACAGGTAAGGCGGGAAGAGGATAGCAGGTGAGGCAGGATACCAGGTAAGGCGGAAGAGGGACCAGGTGAAGCGGAAGAGGATAGCAGGTAAGGCGAAAAGAAGGGGCAAGTGAGGCGGAAGAGGATAACAGGTGAAGCGGAAGAGGATAGCCGGTTGATAGCGGATAAGGCGGAGGAAGGCAGGTCAGGCGGAAGAGGATAACAGGTAAGGCGGAAGAGGATAGCAGGTAAGGCGGGAAGGGATAACAGGTGAGGCGGAAAGGATAGCAGGTGCAGGTGAGGCGGAAGAGGATAGCAGGTAAAGGCGGGATACCAGGTCAGGCGGAAGGATAACAGGTAAGGCGGAAGAGGATAGCAGGAGGCGGGAGAGGATAACAGGTAAGGCGGAAGGCGGAAGGATAGCAGGTGAGGCGGAAGGGGGATAACGGAAGGCGGAAGCAGGAAGGCGGAAGAGGGAGGTAAGGCGGGAGAGGATAACAGGCAGGCGGAAAAAGGATAGCAAGTGAGGCGGAAGAGGGCGGAAGCGGGGGATAAGGCGGAAAGGTGAGGTCAGGCGGAAGAGGATAACAGGAAGGCGGAAGAGGATAGCAGGTAAGGCGGGAGAGGATAACAGGTGAGGCGGAAAAGGATAGGCGGAAGAGGATAGCAGGTGAGGCGGAAGAGGGATAGGCGGAAGAGGATAAGGTCAGGCGGAAGAGGATAACAGGTAAGCGGAAGAGGATGGCAGGTAAGGCAGGGAGAGGATAACAGGTGAGGCGGAAGGAAAAGTGTGGCGGAAGAGGATAGCAGGTGAGGCGGAATGATTGAAAGAAAATCGAAGATTTAGAAACAGCTTCAAAAGTTCATATGCCAAAAAATAAATATGATTTTAAAATTTAAAATATTTTAGGGATTACTTGTAATTGCATGCATGGGTCCCAGTTATAAATAATTATTGTGATATTTTTGCATTATATCAAGTATTAAGAATATAGTAATTAGGTCTGTAAATTAGAGGAGAGAGTTATCAATGATTCGAATCCGTGATTATCTCCGCTTAATCATCTCTCTGGACCTACTTTTCCATAGGGATGCTTGCACCTTTTCACCGGGACTTCCCTTTGGTGAGGCGCGAGCAAATTTTTATTCCGAAATGCGACCTGGAAAAAAATATTTGGGAACCACTGACTTGATTTGTTGTTACCAGCTTCCAATGATAAACGCAAATTTTCTCATCTAATCGACCATCATCTTAGAAACATTTTCGATATGAATTTCAATATTTTGGGATGTAATTATGAAGAATCCTAATTCGAATACTTTATAGATATTATCACAGAATTCCTTTCCTAAAAAACTTCAGTTTAATGTTTGTATTGTAGCATACGTACAGACGATAATGGATATGTTCCCATTTACATAAATACAGTAGTAAATACTGTATGTTGGTCTGCCGTTGAAGATTCATTGTGGAATTCAATTGAATCTCTTCTAGCAGTTGACTACTACTTCTACGTGCCGCTGGCGAATCTTATATGTGTTGTTCTTGTCCTAAGTATTATCGTTCATTACCAACCGTCGTTTAATTATTCTATTCAGTAACTTTCCCTAGGTTACAACATTTTGATAAACCGATAAAATTAACCCGAAATTAATTTCATTAAAACGAACAAAAAATTTAATAGTTTTGTGAATATCTACACCTGAATGTACCAATGCATACGTATAAAACTTATAAAATCCTTTGCAATCAATAGGAGAGAAAGTTTCAATTGTCTTTTTATTAGATTTGAACACATGTCCGTAGCATTTTAAATAAATGGTGTTTGAACACGTGGTTTCATTTCAAACGTCAATGCTATTACATTAAAGGTGAAAATGAAGGAGAGTGAGATGTATTTTCATCATTTGATGCTCTTATTTCCGGCAAAGAAAAACGATGTACGAACAGCAAAAAGACATTTAGGAAGATGGTGTCATAGTAGAGAACACATTTTGATTGATTTGTTTTTTTTACCGTTTATCAACCCTTTGCAGTTTATTTAAAGCCAGAAGATATTTTTAGATATTTTTTTTTAGATAGTAATGATTTACTGGCAAAGTCCTACTAATTAACCCATAGCTGAGAGGGGGTTATATCTTTCCCAAGGGTACTTGCGTGTAAGTGAATATAACTAACCCGACTGAGACTAAAACTTGGCTCTCTGATTTCCAATTCCGTGACGTTATCCATTACACTACCCGCACATTCAAACTTACAACACCAGAGTAGAGAATACTGTTCGTAAATGGTTTCCTAGTTTCAGAAGTGGACATTTTGATCTGAAAGGCAGAGAACGTTCTGGCAGGCCTTCATTCTTTGATGATAACCAAATCGAAACGTTGATTAAATTTATTCAGGTCACACGGCATGGGACATCGCAGATATAGACCATATAGTTTATATTAGCGTTGTAAAGTATTTGAAAGCACCTGGACACGTGACTCGCTACCAAAAATTTATATGGACCTCATTTCTATCTGCTCACTCTACAAAAATGACATTTTTTTAAAAAGAACGCTCACATGCGATGCAAAATAGATTGTTTACAACAATGTGGAGTGAAAAAGGTTTTGTAGAAAATGAAATGAGCTGCTTTTGACAACTCCAGAATCCGGCCTGCATCCAAAGAAGGTGAAGCCGTGTATCTTGTGAGAAGGACGTTGTATATTACGAGCTCTTTCCACAAAATAGGGCGTTAAATTTAAACAATTATTATTCTCTATTGGACCTATTAAAGACACCAATTATCGAAAAGCATCCGAAATTGGCCACTCAGAAAGGTGCCGTCTGCTATCTTGCACCTACGGATTACTACTTATTTCTCGGCAGGGTTAAGGTTAATTTGATAACTCTAACCCTATAAAGTTCTCTTAATGGGAAGAAATTCAATTTTCTGGTAGTCTGTAAAAACCAGAACGATTCAAGTTCTACGAGGATGGAATAATGAAGCTGTCTCAAAAGGTAGCAAAAGGTAGGGAAATAAAATAACATATATGTGGTTGAATAAATCTATGTTCAAATATTTAAATAGTCGTTGAAATTTGCATAAAAAACCGCTACAGACTTTTGTTACGACCCAATAGTTTAATTTGACCGTCTCAACTCAAAAAGTAGTCGTAATATTTAAGGCGTTTTTTGGCAACAACCATTCCCCCCCACCAAAAAAAAAAAGAAGAAAAGTTACTCATTGATGGACAAAAAGATAAATGAATTTGGATGTTCAAATTGCAATCAACAACATGACATAAGAAAAGGATTCCAAACTGAAGCTAAAATTATCTGAGATATTAATTCTTTTATATTTTTTAAATTAAACACCAATCTCTTGGATCTCTAAATACACAGACATGTTTCCTTTTTGGTTTTTCTTTCTTTAACATAATTCAAAAGTACATTTAAAGATAAAATCAATCATCTGTCATCTGCGCAATGAATGCATTTTTGTTTGATATACTATTACAAATGATCGTCTAGAAGTGTGTTGCGACGATGAAATGTCTGAAAGAAAAAGGTAAGAAATAATAAGATTGTTATGAGAGAAAATAATATGGTCTTACCGCACTGTAGGAAGAAATCTGGATTCTTCTTAATGACCTCCCCACACTTATTGTTTGAATAGCAGTCTCTTATTTTTTGTAATTTCCTAGAGAACAAAAATAGAAAATAATTGTTAAACGAATAAATATTTACCACGATTATTATACCTTAGTTATGAACTAAGTGGCAGGGCAAACTAGGCTCCCTAGACTTGGTTGGCAGCCAATCTAGGAGAGAGAAAACTTTGAAATCAAAACCAATTGCAACGGAGAACTAATCCACTGTCTTTCTCAAGATGTCATGGCAAGTAATAGATAATGAAAGTATTAGGCTGGTGCAAAAATAATGTCGTTTTTGACGTTAAGTTGAACGTCAAAAAACGACATTATTTTTGCACCAACCTAATAATCTGCGAATAGTCGTGATTCCCTATGTCCTGAAGGGATATATATCATTAAAAAAAAAAAACATTATCGTTCGTCTGTAACGTCTTTCAATTGACAGAATAGCTATTTCAAAGACACTGACTATGTAGTTAATTATTTAAGTAGGTAGGTAGATAATTTTGGAAGAATACCATATCCATCAGCCGGCTCATTCACCTACTTTTTATCTGTTTACTGACGTAGTCAAGACGACTAGTGGTGCGATATGGCGTAGGGAGAGTTTGATTCTTAGCCAATGAGAAGAATCGTTTTTTCACCGCTCTTCCTCTTTTTTCCTTCACTTTCTACTGGATATCAAATAAGCTCCATATTCATAAAATGATTTTTTAATTGTTTAAAAGTAAAAAAAAAAATGTTTATTACATACAATTTCTGAACTGATACTGTTCGCATTTATCTGTCTTCAGAGAAAATAATTTTTCCTTGTCGTTTGACAAACGTTTGCTACATTTGAACATTATCTTTAACGAAAACCTTTTTTAATATTGGGTTGGTGCATAATTATCAGGCATTTTTGTAGGTGAGTTATTTGTTAATACAAATTGCTGCTTTGTTTATTTTTTTTAATAAAAATATTATTTTATTTTCATGTTATAAAAATGCGTGTCGATAGTCATACTCATTTTTAAAAAAGTTGAATTGTTATGTTTCTTTTTTCATAATAAATATTGTTTAAAAACGTCTGATTATTATGCACCAACCCAATACTAAAGATTACACAATAAAAGGCTCTACTCATGGTAGAGGGTTTCAAAATGAGATGTTTAATATGAACAAAAAGCAAAATTCTAGCTTAAAATAGATAGAGCTCCACTACTAGACTGTATGTAAATAAATTAATTATCTGACTTCGTATATAAAAATCCTTGCTTTTACGTTTTTCTGTTAATTTTTTCGGATTTGTTTACCTTACGTCCCAATGTATAATAAGCCTTTATTCATAATACGCACCCCTAAAATTGTGCTGAAAGTGTGGGAAAATGCTTCTACTCATGCATAATAAGCACCGTTTGTTTGGTAATCAAGCCCTATAAATTGTATCTCTCCAATTTCATTAAGGCCAGAGTTTCCTACTCTTATTTAAAAAATGGTTTTAAGCATAGAATAATATTATTCTAATTTATTTTTATGATAATTATGATAATTCTTATTTTATTTTACATTTGTAAGTATTGTTACATATGATTGTATTTGACATCCTTATGGGGTTACAATCACCGAATGTTAGTGTCAAATTGTCGTATTTTTGTCGCAACTGAAATCGACCTATGAAACGGTAATTTTTTAAAGATTTTTTTGTAGCTGTGAATAACACAGATCCTTTTTATGCTTATTATTTTTTAGAAAAGAATGCGTATTATACATGGGTAATTACGGTAATTCCTTATTCAGTATTTGTTAAATCTGCTTTCCGTGTTTTGGTGTTCATTCCTTTTAACGTCCAAACGGGAAGGCAACGAGCTTCTGTGTCAGGATGGATTAACGGGGAATGAGAATTTTGGTAAAGGGTAAACGTTGCTAAGAGCTACAAAAGATAGAAGAATGTGGAGATCTAAGATCACCCACGTCCTAAAGGGACACGGTACTTAGAAGAAATATATTTTTTTTATGATGACACTTATTCTCTCGTCCCGAATAGACGGATTACCACGAATTTTTAAATTATGATTTTTCCCCAAACTACCCATTATTATTCTACACCCAACGTTTATTTTATTTTCTCATTTTTTCTAACCGCTTTTCCCTGTTTTTGCTCCAAAAACAAACGAATTTTGAATGAATTTTCCAACCTACCGCTTTATTTCAACCTACGCTTCTATTCCACAA